GTTATTTATAGTAACTGGTGGAGAATGTGCAGGTCTTTTCCTATTTAAACTATTATCAGCATCATCGGTGCTGGGGACGGTGATAGTCATTAGAGGGGTGTACTCAAACATATTATCTGGAGGGTCGGGAGGTTTTTTTGTATCCATATTAAAAAGTGCAGATGCACCGAAAAAAATATATAATTAAAGAAAAAGAGTATTAGGGAATATTTTGCCCACGTTACCAATAGTTTTTTAGTGTATCACAACACTAGGATGGCTTCGACTCAGATTTGAAAAAAAATATTTAATTTGAAAAAAAAAACACACACACAAACACGTATGTCTTTCACCACTGCCAAGATAAAATTATTAAATCTTCAATTTTTCTATAATACGAAACGAATAAATGCAATCCGCCATTTTTTTTTTACTACTCGACGAGTTAAATAAGGATTCTAAAATGGTATGTCAAATGTCACTCCCTACATTATTTCTTAAATTTGACACAAAAAAGAATTACACGATTCTCAGTTTTAGCTTCTTGGTCCAGGTTTGTCAAACTTGTTAATCGACAAATGTTTTTACAGTGTGTGTACATGGATTGTCATTCAATTTGTTTAAATAGAGTTTAACTTGCGTTTGCGTAATCTAATGATTATTCTCAAACTAAATACACTATCTCCACGCTCTCATTGACGTCGTCTTTGCGCGTATTAAAGTGATAAAAATATTTTTAAAAGTTATATAAAAGCTAACCACCGCCGTTAATAATTGCATATTTTAAAACTTAATCTATAAATACAGAAATATTTCTTGTATTCAGCAACATTTTGCATCCACAAGGCAAACAATGTTAGTCCAAAATTATATCTCGTTCCGTTCGGTACGTACAAAAATGGCGGCAATGAATTGCGCGCCAAAACATTTCCCGCGCATTTTTTGCTTAACTCACACTAATCGCCCATCATAATGATTTGTTTTACTTATACGGATTTTTGCCTCAAAAAGACCGTTTATTCTAATGAGGATAAATGATGAAACAGCCTTCCTCGTAGCGTTTTTTAAATTTTGTATCCGAAACGGGATGCGTGAATAAGCGGGGATAGGCATTATGTGGGATTATCTAATGCTTTAAGTTAAAAATATACGTGAGGTACGAAAAGAAGGGTATTTTTATTTTCAGGTTGGCAACGTTTTTAGGTACTGTTATGGTAACTTTGCAAACTTTGTAATTTAATGTAATTTTAGTAATGTTTTAGTTTCTTTACTTCAAAGACAAAATTACATTGAACATAACCATACTTATTAAAACCACTTTTAATTTAATTTCTACAGGTTTGACATAGAATACGTAAAAGGCGTTCAGCCTGCTGGCAATTCATACATGACGGCTCGCCAGCCCTCGATTGAAATACCTCCCGGCTACTACGATACAGGGGACGGACTGTACAATCCTAAGACGAAAGTTATTTACAGTTACAAGGATCTTTGTACTATCAAAAGGTATCAAATGTTTATAGTGTAATTGACAAATTAGCCAAGTGGTGTGAATGAGTAATTTTTGGTTTTCTTTGCTAATTGTTTTATTGCTATAGTAGTAGTATGTTAAAAAACTACCATATTAAAATTCTGTAAAAAGGTGTGACACTTTTCCAACTGACCTAGCAACCAATCCAAGTTATGAATTAGAAGAATATAATAAACATGATTTAAAATCATTTTTGTTTACAGGGCTCCGTCATTACGAGAACAACAATGGATAGTAGAGTCGTGTCGCATTGCAGACGTGAAGCCGTTGGGTCCCCGTCCTGATTTGTACGAGACCTATGAACAACCATCTCTGCTTCTGGCCCAACCACCACCGCCACCAGCCACCAGCTTTACTTCCAGATGCAGCTCCCAATTCGATATGGGCCATGTATGATTTTTGTAATTAAACGCTAACACACGACAACGACAACATCTACTAACAAATTGGATAGATGACTTAGTCATGGTTATGTAGTTACATGCAGGTCGCTTCCAACCGACCTATCTGGAAGTCATTGGGGAGACTTATGTTTAGCAATAGACAGCTTGTGGCTAATATGATGATGGTAACTACGAACTATTTAAGGCTATACTTTATGTACACAGCGTACGTTCCGCGCGCTCCTCAAAGAGCCATCAGACCACCATGGACCACCCAATCCTATTGGCTGATGCCGATACGGAGCTGCGGAGAACCTAACGGGTTACCGCTTCGGCTCGAAGTGCAGGAGTAGGAACGGGGTGGTTTTTAATCAATAAGAGTCTGTCATTCTCTCCCGCCTCACCCAGGCGGTCCGTCATTGAATAAGGGGATAATCATCCCCTCTTAAAAAAAAAAATCTTATATACTATACCGGCTAGCTAAACCTATTTGGTTGCTTCTATTTATTTGAGTACCCTGAGTGAACTATTTTTTGACTCTGATTATTATATATCGACTTCCAAGAAAATTAATTATAGTATAGTAAGTATCTAAATCATTTTTTTACTTTGCAGAATAAGGCTCTGAGGGACTTCTACGATCCATCGAAATTTAGGTCTCCGTCAGTAGAAAGGTTGGAGCAAACATTGCCAGTTCTATTTTAATTTTATCTTATATGCAATTCTTATTATTTAAAAGAAAATTAGATAATTTTATAACTTCACATAAACATAACATCACACCTTTTATCCTCGAAAGGGTAGGCAGAGGTGCACATTATGCCACTGTACAATGTAACACCCACTTTTCACTATTTATGTTATGAGTCCTATGTTATATGGGGTAAATCTATTGCCAAATACCGTGGACAATTGCAGACTCCGTGCTACTACTAAGATTTTTTTAAAACCCAGTAATACTTTGGCCGACCCGGGAATCGAACCCGAGATCCCTCGCCCGGCAGTCGCACTTGCGACCAGCCTTATAACTTCACATTCGTATAATAGAAAATTACAAATTTTCTGCAAAATTTCAATGTTTTCAGGTGTGATGTTCCTTGAGAATATTTGATAAAATAGTTCTTATTTGTGTGATTTTTTATCATTTATGGGTTTTTTGAGGTGTTATAACAGATTTGGAAAGCAAAAAAGCTTTTTCACCAAAGTGACCATATTTCCAGTTTAGACATCGGAAAGGATTAATTTATTATGTGTTTCATTTTTTTTTCAGGCCTCCGTCGCGAAAATTCAGGCCTGCCAATTAACAATAAAATATATACTTTACTTAGTTGTGTACAGGTTATTATTCGCATTCCTTAAAAATAATACATTAATTTTAAATTATTTATTTGTTAATTAATTTTAATTTTATTGCTATTGATTAATTTTATTTTTAGTTTTACTTTAAGTGGTATTTTAATCTTTTTAAATTTAGTTTAAATGGTAACTTGGTTGATAATGCGTTTATTTCTAAATAATTTATAAGTCCTTTAGTATTAACAATGTCTTTCTAATTTTAATAGTCCATTGCTGCTAGGTCTTTTTGTTTGCGAAAATAAACTTATTTTTAAATTTATTTTTGGTTTTTTTATTAAGGTTATTGTTTCAGACATCATTTGGTAACATTTTTCAGAATTTGCGGTTGCAGTTTGCAAATTAGTATCAAGTTCAGACATGTTCTTCGTTAGGTTTTTGAGAGAAACAAAAAAACTCTCGGTGCATTCTGGTATTACATAATCGACAGAGAAACGCGTCACTGCTTCACACCGATTTGTAGACATCGACATATATCTAATAGACACATACAAATTACCTACATTCTTTTACTCTTGTAGATTTCTAAAGAAACTTATTAACAAACATTTTTTTTATTTGAAATATTATTTTATGTTAAATAACATATTTATGAATAAATAAATACAACTTAACATAAAAATATTTACACCTTAAAAACAATAAACATTTTAGTCAAAAATATCCTCTTGCCGTCCTACTTGAGATCTTACAGACCTTTTAACAGAAGAAAAGAAATACATTTTTAAAATGACATTGACTTGACATGTAGGTACTGTCAAAGGTTCGTCTGTCAAAGTTTTTTAAAATAATAACCGTTTTTTCTTCTTGCTGTCATCGTTTTAGTGAACATTTTAAGGCTTTTGCTATAAGTATTTTTAAAGAAGAAAGTTTAATTATAAGGTAAGTACCTATTTACATACTTTATTATAGGTATGCAGTAATCACATTTAAATATTTCAATTAACTCCGTACCGGTGTGTTTATAAATTCAAAAAATACATACATCAGTAAATATTTAATTACATATTTTACACAGAATTTTCAATACAATAATGGACTTGTTTTACTTTAACCATAATATTATGTTAACACAATTTATTCTTAAAAAAAGTGGAAGATTAATAGGTACATATGATTGACAATAACTGTTCCTGCTAATAATAAGTAATTCTTTTTGTGATGTGGAGCACAGATATAATAATTTTAATATTTCTGTGCACTATAGGCCTCCTCTTCTTAAGAAGGCAAACTTCCATCATTTTTTTACATCTCGGTAATTATTTCGTTTTATCATAGATACAGTCTACAATGGTATCCCTGTCATTGAGGAAACTAAATCAAGAAGGAACTACGTAAGTTACAATCTTAATTAAACTCACTCACTACGGAAATACCTATTACATTTTTAAAATAAAATCTTCATTATTAAAATCTATGTTACAATCATCACCACTATTCCTATTAGCCTTACCATAATCAGCAAGGTGTCAACTACCGATACTTTTAATATAATTTTAATACAAATTCCGAAACGGTATGAATCTGTACGTTATTAGAGGCTGAGAATTTCGAATTTCGAAAATTCTTATTAACTTTGACTCGAACGGAATCTTTGACGTTTAAAAATATCTTGGTCTAATTTATATAAATTATATATTTGATTATACTGACTATTGGGACCGGAAAGAAGTCTAACTAGTAAGTTTACAGTTGCTTTACTTTAAGTGACAATTCTAAGCACATAATTTAAAACATTATGTTTTCAGCTTCGTCACCCACAAACATGTTCCACACTTGCAGTATCTTATGAATGACTTTTGGGTAAAACGCAAAGTGAAGTGCAGGTTAGTATATAGTTTTATCATTAACTACTGACTCGTTATTTTGTTCATAGAATAAAATTGATCATCGATTATCTCTTGACGTTCCCCAAGGATCTTTCACTTCATATCAACTTACTGTGACCAGCAAGTTTGACTGTGTGTGTGACTGACCGTTAGTATGTCAGCCACACAATCTTGCAGTATTAACACAATGATCTAAATATGTTATCGATGGAATGTGTCCGGAATAAGGTGGAACGGGAGTCATAGCTGAGAAAGTATGGCATTGCAAAGATGAACGTAGGTATCATACAGAGTGTTTTAAGTAAGCCTGCATCAGAAATAGCACGAGGGTTTTACTTGCTAGTGCCGCAGACTCAGCACCGACCCTCGTAATTATTTATAAACAACTAGTATAAGTACTATGCGTTAATAGTTATAAGGAACAATGGGTTTGATACGTTAATTTTAACGAAAAACCCTAAATAAAACTAAATAAAAAAAAGTATATCTTATCGGATTTTTTTTAAGGGGGGAAAATCATCGAATGGCTGCTCCCGTCTGGGTGAGGCGGGAGGGAATGTCAGACTCTTACTGACTAAAAACCACCCCGTTCCTTCTCCTGCACGTCGAGCCGGAGCCCCGGTTACCCGTTAGGTTTTCCGCGACATATCTTATCGGATAAGGGCATTCGGAACTGGTATCCCCGACTCAGACGTCATAATAATAATTCAGATTTTGTATAATTTATCTATTTTTCTTTCAACTCTCACGTAGGGCAGAACCGTTGGAGACATTTCATGGTTCATATCGGATAAAGAAACAGTTATCAACAGGTTCGCACTATGACGGCGAGTGGCAACTAATGGGTATGAATGGTTACGGAGAGTACACATATGAGAATGGTTAGTTTAATTTTTCTAATTTCTATTAGGTATTTCTATAGATTAGAGCAAATGCATCCATTACATGGGTCTTGGAACCACACGTGGGACGTAAACATTTCTGAAGAAACATGTGTGGTTCCGTCCTACCATGTCGTGTAAACCTTGAAGGAATGAAATGTTGATATTGAGTGATTGATAATGAACAGCTTGATATTGATAATAAGCCTATACTTTTTCTTTTAGAAAAAACTTTGCCTCACATTAAGATATTCTCCTGTGTCCCACGACACAGGAGAATATCTTTCTAGGCGTTTACAAAAAGAAACACAATTTGACATAGAAATGAAACCCAGACCAGAAACAACAATTTATGGATCACACAAAGTGTTGTTCCGTGCGGGAATGGCAGGCACGGCAGCCAGTTGCCAGCCACCGCATCAACTATGCAGTTATTATAAATAACATTTTTTATATAGCTATTGTACTCCTATTTTAATTATTGTTCAAAGGAGTCGTGTACGAAGGCCAATTCGAAAATGGCATGATGCATGGGAAGGGTGAGCTTCGATATACGTTAAAAGATGGTAGAATAGCCGTCATACGTGGACGATGGAAAGAAGATGTCTTGGTTGAGAGGACGTTATTCCTGTCAGACTCCTTGGAGTACAAAGAAGATGGCTGGACATATTGTATGATGCCCGATAGAAGGTATGCTCTTTTCCGATTGATTTGTAACCCTCTTGTTCTGTTTTGATCTTTTTTTATTTATGGAATAGGAGGCAAACGAGTATACGGATCACCTGATGGTAAGCGATCAGCGCCGCCCATGGACACCCGCAACATCAGAAGAGTCACACGTGCGTTGCCGGCCTTTTAAAAAGGAGTACGCTCTTTTCTTGAAGGTTTGAAGCTACGTGAGAACCGCACAGTTGTGGCCTGCCAACCATCTATATGATGGGGATGCATATGCTGTCGTGAGGGTCGATGGCGAAAAGATGCGGCAGGTATCAGGTCAAACAATTCCTCAGAGCACTCCCCGTGGTATAAGCGGTAGAAAATGCACAATGAAGCTACATCTCTACGCATACACTACGCATCTTAGGTCGACTGAACTGGTCTTAGACTTTTTCATGTTTTATAGTTCCTATGAGATCTATCTAAATACGAAACGTTATGTGTTTCTTCCCTGAAGCGAGAAACGAGACAATATTTCCTCGTGTATTCGTATTATTAACGGTAAAATGGGGTGAATAGGGTTTGAACGGCGAAAAGGGACAGAAGAGGGGTGAATCGATACTATGAAGAATTTGCTTAATCTATTCACCCCTCTTCTGTACCTATTCACCTCTCGATCCCTATTCACCCCATTTTACGGTACCTACTTGTCGCGATATTGTAAGCCTTATACAATAAAATAAAATTGTAACTTAACCAAATATTCATACAGGTTTGCAGTGGAATTCGATACAGGTATGAAGCCTGCTGGCCAATCGTATCTGACGGCTGAGCAGCCAACCAAGGAGATACCCCCAGGTTTCTATGATACGGGAGATGGTTTCTTCGATCCTAAAACGAAAGCCATTTTCAAGGATGGCAGCCTAAGAGATATTGTGAGGTAAGATAAAATGAATGTTTGAACTTAACATGAAGACTATAAGGACCTAGTTACCGCTGTACTCAGTCATGTAATGGTTACTTAACCCAGGCTCTGCATCATTGCCATATTGTCTCATTGGCTGAGTGGTCGCAAGTAGGACTGCCGGGCAAGGAATCTTGGGTTCGATTCCTGGGCAGGGCATAGTATTTCTGGGATTAAAAAAAAAATAAGTGCAGTAATGTGCATCTCTGCCTCTCCCTACCCCTTCGGGGATAGAAAGTGTGATGTTATGTTAACCCAGGCCCCAGCAATTATTGTCTTCGTAGCAAAATCGTTACTCAGGTTAGGCACTTAATGCCACTGCACAACGTAGCACCCACTCTTAATTATTTATGTTATGGGTCCCATGTAATAGGGGTGAGCCTATTACAATAGTATACCGGGCATAATTCCAGACCCCGTGCTACAACTGATATTTTTCAAAAAGAAGCTATTCACAGACTTTTAAATAACTTAATCATTAACACTCTTAGCAATAATACGAGAGTGGACGAGACATGTCGTTTACATTTAAGTTTTGTTCGAAGAGCCCCAGGGGTTCAGGAGCAAAAATGGATAGTAGCAAACTGTCGTAAGGGCGTTGAAGAACCTTTAGGACCTCGTCCGGACTTGTATGAGAACTTACAAGGGCCGGTGATCTTCCCAGTATCCCATCGACCACCAACAAATACACTCAAGCCCAAAATATCGGAAAAATTTAGTAAACAATCCTTATTGGACAAATTCGATTACGTAAGTATCAACCTGATATCTAAAATACCTACACATTTAGCAACTCAGCTGACTAACGATGAACTGCTAAGAACTGATAATTCGAACTTTTGAAGTGAGCTCATTCGCGTTCTCGCCCTTCATTGGTCGAGATTTATTCTCACAACCAATAACATGGCGGACCGCGATCGAGTTCACTTCGATCTTTCAAATTGAAAGTTACAGAATAACCGTGAGGCTAATTTGTAATAATACCCGTTAGGCTATTCTAGACCCAATGTGTGACCGAGACTAGTAGTACATACGGCTACACATCGAGCTTTACATAACCAGTATAAATAAATAAATAAAATAAAATAAAAATGCCCTTTATTCCACTAATTACAATGTTTTAGACAAAACTTATTTAGATTTAAATCTTTTCAAAGTAAACAAATGCTAATAATGTTACGTTCTCTTAAGCTGTTTATGTAAATCCGTTCCTTTTAACCTGTTTCTTCTACTCTGGTTTATCTTCGCTATTCATAGCGGTCGCCTCTATGACGTAGGCCTCCCCTAAATCACTCCACTCTTTCCTGTTGCGCGCTTTGTGCATCCAGTCTGGTCCACAACATTGGGTAAAAATATCTCGCCATCTCTTTCTTTGCCTCCCTTGCTTTCTTTTACCGTCTAATGGAATCCATTCCGTCACCCGCTTTGTCCATCTCGTACACTCTAATCTGCACAGATGTCCTGCTCAGTTCCACTTCAGCAATCTTATTCTTTGGTTTACATCCATTAGCTTTGTTTTCCCTCGTATAAATTCGTTTTTTATTTTCATAACCAGTATAAACTGAACGTTAAATGTGCGGAAAGATAATGCGACGCGACACCAGGATAAACTGGTTTTGTATAGATTGATGTGTGGCCGTGTGTACAAATACAGGTCAATAATGATAAAAGTGGTCAGTTAACTTTCTTAAGTAGTGCAAGGGTTGGTTTGAGGCGACAATGGCAACATAGGAATATTGAATCGATCTATTCTAAGATAGAGTTCTAGCCAGATTATATTTCAATTTGTTGGTATTGTTGGTATTCTTTAATGTTTATCATCATCAGGACTACCTGATTTTTTTTTAATAATCCTCATTTGGTAACCACAGTGTGTGTAGTTGTATGTTTTATTCTATTCCTATAATAATTGTTTTTTATTATATACCTACTTCCCAGGATTCAGCACCAGTCTTCTATGGTGCTGACCAAATACCGGACAAGTAAGTTTTTTGATATAATACGTGCTCCATCGTAGGCCACATAAGTACCTGTCACGCGTAGATATCTCTCAAGTAAATTTAATTCCTAACCAACTGTAATCATCTAAATACAAAGATTTGTGGAGCTTTTCTATATTTTTATTACCTACTTAAACTGTCAAACACCAAGCGGTCACCGGTGACCGCAACCTATTGTTCTATAATTGTGTCTACAAAACCGGTACTCGATGAGTTAAGTATTAGACAAGTATTTTTTATTTTGTCGTATATTAAAACAATACTTAGATAAAACGAATCAAAGTTTATGTGTGGGGGCTAAAACATCATTTCTACGTATAAAATGTACATACATAGAAGTGATGTCACGCGACATTTCAAATCAATAAAATATACGTGTAAATATAAAAAATAATCTATTAGGCGGACATTAGGCATCTAGCAAATAGGGCATTTGCCACTGTACAATGTAACACCCACTTTTCACTATTTATGTTATGAGTCCCATGTAATAGAGGGTGAGCCTATTGCCATACACCGGGCACAATTCCAGACTACGTGCTACTACTGAGATTTGTTTTAAAACCCATTAATACTTTGCCCGATCCGGGAATTTAACTCAAGACCCCTTGCCTGGCAGTCGCACTTGTGTAATTATAATTTAGGTATATTACAATATATTATGACAAAAAGGTACGTATTTCTTCTACTACTAAATATTATCATTTCCCTTTACAGCGACAACTCGGCTTCAGGACACAATTAATTCAGATTTAAAGAGTTAAAAGATTACTTTTCGTCAGAAGATTTTGTCAATCTAATTATTATTATTATGTCAATAAGTGTCATGTAGTTATTTATAATACCTTTAAAGGTATTTTTATTGCATAGTTCGTATAAAGTTTTAATTTAATTTACTTAGTTTAATTTAAGCATTTTGTAGACATAATGTTAGTGATGAAATAATAAAACACCCTAATATAATAAGTTTTGTTTTGACTTCTATCTGTTTACTTAAGTGGTTATAAGTATTTTTGAGAATAGAAAATAATAAAAGCAAAAATAAAAAACTCACTCCTAACTAGGATATCTAGTACTTAAGTACCTATCTGTAGAGAGACATAGATCTTCCTAGGACTGAACTGACTTTGGACAGTGGGGACTCCGAAGTTAATTTTTTTATGGGACAAGCCCGCCGCATCCTCCAAAATCAACAATACAACCATGCAATCACAGGAACATTGAAGTCCGGCGCGTCTCTGGGACATGAATAACTGTCTTAGGATCCCGCAACGAAATAAATCAGAAGATATTCATACAGGGAAAGAAAATAAAACGATGATTTTCACTTCCCTCGGTGAATTCCGAAGTCAATCTATTTAGAAGACCCGATGTGCTTACTGGTGCTGATGGTAGTCACCGGTATGATTGTAGCGACCTTTTGTAACAAGGAACAAACCCATTGTATCTATTTTCAATAATTTACAGAAAATTTTGCAAATCGGTATATCATCAATACTTGATTGATTTACTAGCTGACTCGCCAAACTTCAAATAAAAAATCTCACCTTTTAAACCTATTCTTTTCTATAAACCTCACGGAGTCCGAGGCCTTTCCAACGAATGCAAAACCGTGGGAATCGGTTAGTGCGTTCTGGAGTTATGTAGTCAGGAAGGAAAAATCAGACTCATTTTTATTAGTAGATAGATGATCCACAGATACGTTTGGAACCACACCCGCCACAGTATAGCTTTATCTATCACCTATTTAAATACACCATTTACTTGGACTACATTCTAGGGTTGCAGGCGTCACGAGGTCGTGACCATAGCATCGTGACGGCATCACAATTCCACATTATTCTGGTAAAAAGATAATTAAGTACACGAAAACGACTCACGGCTATAAAGACGTTATTCATTTTGCAGAAAATTAAAACAACAATTTGAATTCTGGAGCATTTTAATGGAAATGCTCGTTCTAATTTAAACTACTACTACCTACTTGGGTAGTACGTATTTGAATTTTTTAAGTCCAAATACGTTGGTATTAAACCTACCTTGTTAATGCAACTATATAGGTTTAAGTACTTGTACTTAACAATTCAAATAGATACCTACCTAATTAATATACTTTTAGTACGTATTGCTCAATTAGTAGGTACCTGAAGCGCAGTTTCACCAACTCTCGGTTCCTATTGAGCGTAACGTGATGTTTCTTGAAAGACCTTCCTAAACAAACTGTTAATCTTTATTTATCTGGGTACCTACTATACTTCCGCGCAGCTTCACCCACTCTGCTTGGCTCCTATTGGTCATAGCGTTATGTTTTTAGCCCATAACCTTCCTCACTGCACTATCCAAAACAATAAGAATTATTCAAATCGGACTGGTAGTTCTAGAGATTCCTTCAAACAAACAAACTTTTCAGGTTCAGCTCTTCTCTCATACATAGTATTTTTTTACCATTTTTTTAAGGGGGGGAACTCATCGAATAAGTACTCCCGCCTGGGTGAGGTAGGAGGGAATGCCAGACTCTTACTGACTAAAAATCACCCTGTTCCTTCTCCTGCAAGTCGAGCCGGAACCCCGGTTACCCGTTAGGTTCTCCGCGACTTATATCAATACATAGTATAAAACAAAGTCGCTTTCGCTGTATGTCCGTATGTATGCTTAGATCTTTAAAACTACGCAACGGATTTTGATGCGGTTTTTTTTAATAGATAGAGTGATTCTTAAGGAAGGTTTGTATGTATATACATATTGCACCCGTGCGAAGCCGGGGCGGGTCGCTAGTATAGTATAATATACTCTTCTCTTACATGATAAGATTATATAGCACCTACAGTAGGTCCTTATAGCGCCTATTGTAAAATGTTCGGTACGATCTTTTGTGAAGTTCGGTAATAGGGTAAGACGTCGATGGTGAATATGACCCTTAACTGCAAACTTCTTTCTAGGTACCTAAAACATATTTTTCTCACCTTTCAACCCGTCGTTTGTCTAAATGTGGATCCACGCGAGCACAGTGTATATTTTATTGTGTCTCATATCGGTGCATTCAATCGGTTAAACCTTCCCTGGACTCCCATGAACATTTCAAGACAAAGATTAGCCAAATCGGTTTAGCTGTTCTTGAGTTTAGCGAGACTAACAAAGAAGTGTAATAAATTAAAATGTGGCGTGGGACTAATATACTAATATATATAAGATATATTTAATTATTTAGAAAAAAATATTTTATCTTAGCAAGCGCACACTTTCTTCGTGAACCGAATCTTAATGACATTTTGTGACAAAACTATTTAGTGTTGCCAAAACAAATAAAACTTATATCATTTGTGCTCCAGCAATGATACAATCTAAAGCAAAATTTAAATAAATAATATTACATTTTTAAGGTGTTATAAGACTTTCGAAATAGATCATAATATTTTCATAAATTAACATGCAGACTTTTACCAGAAATAATAATAAACACTTTATAAAATGGCAACACTACGGTGAAGCATGGACGGATAAATATCGCAGCGCTGAGCGCAATAGTTGTGGTTATATTGTAGGTAGCTATATATATATTGCCTGGCATGGACGTCGTGTCTGCTGAAATGTTCAAAATAGATCGATAATATTTTTTTGCAAAAACGTTGTGAATATATGAGTGTAGTTCCTCATTTAATTCGCTAGTCAACTGAAAACCTTATTTGTTAATTTCGATTTCATTCCGTTGACATTAAGGATTTTTGTGATTCGTGTTAGACTCGAGGCTGTGAAAAAATATTGTGAAAGTGACCGTAATATGACCAGAAGATGAAGTGCCACTACGAAGTATTGTGTGTACCAAAGGAAGCATCTGCGTCCGAAATCAAGAAAGCCTATCGGCGGCTTGCGCTGCAATGGCACCCTGACAAGAATTTAGAAAATTTGGTTGAAGCAAAAGAGCAATTTCAGCTCGTGCAGAATGCATATGAAGTGCTTTCTGACCCTCAAGAGAGAGCCTGGTAAGTTGGACAGCTTTTTTCAAAAGCATTAGCAATGTAATGAAGTGTTTGTGGATGCATTGATTTCTCAACAACTGCAATCAATATTTACCATCAGTTTATTTCAATTCTAGGTATGACAATCACAGAGAGCAGCTATTGCGCGGAGCTGGCAGTTCTTACAATGACGACAGTCTTGATGTCTACCCTTACTTCAGTCCGTCCTGTTATAAAGGTTTTGGAGATGATGCTCAAGGGTTCTATGGAGTATACAATGAGGTAGATGTGTAAAAAGGTTACAATTATTGCACAAGTTTACTTAAAACCTACTTAGATCAAATTTTAACAAACTTGTGATTAATTTTCCAGGTATTTTCCAAATTGATAACAGAAGAAACAGATTTCCTAGATGATCCTGAAGATGTATCAAAAATCCCCACATTTGGAAACTCCACCACACCATATGAAGAAGTACATGAGTTCTATGCTTATTGGATGGCATTCTCAACTAACAAAAGTAAATATTTACCCACATAAATATACTGAGAAAAAATCTAGTTTTAAGTCACAATTTTTTAGTTAATTCAGTTTGTCTCACAATAGTTATTATAAAAACATTCTTATTCATTCTTGACAATTCTTATTAGATTCATGTGAAATCAAATACTTATATTCTTAAAATTTTTCAGGTTATGTATGGCTGGACCAATATGAAATTTCACAGGGAGACAATAGGAGAGTTATAAAACTTATGGAGAAAGAAAACAATAAAATAAGGCAAAAAGCTCGCAAAGAAAGAAATGAAGAGATCAGAAGACTTGTAAGCTTCGTCCGCAGGAAGGATAAAAGAGTTATAGAGCATACAAAACTGTTACAGGAAAAAGCAGAGGAAAATAAAAGAAAGGTATGCTTGTTCTATCAATTTCTTGTAGGAAAATCATACATAGATTTATTTATAAAAAATATCACATAAATTATTGATATTTTGGCAATATATACCACATGGTATGAAAAATGAGAGAAATGCACTTAACACATGTTAATATTCTGAAAACCACATCAACGTGATGTGGTGTGTTCAGTTATTCTAATAACTATTTATTTGAAAGATAGTGAAATGAATTCTCATACATTTCCCATTTAAATTGATGATCATATTTAATCAGTTTACTATAAGAATAAACTTTATCAATGTCTTAAATATTTGTTTCTAATTTTCACAGGCTGAACAAGTGAGAAGAGAAAGAATAATACAAAGGCAGAAGGAAATAGAAGAAGCTAAGAAGAAAGAAGGTGAAAGCTCTTTCTTACAAAGCCAAGACTATCAGAAGAAGTTGAGTGAGATTGAGTCACTTTTAGCAGAAGAATTTGGTCTATCTTCTGACGATGATGACACAATCAGTGAAGGGGGCATGGAAAGTAGTAATGAAGAAAGTTCTAAGACTGAAGAGGTATGTAATGTTTTTATCCTACCTTTAACCAATTTCTGCCAGTGCCTTCACCGAAAACCTCACAGAAAACCGACGTGAAGCAATGCTTGCGTTGTGTTTCCTCTTGTGAATGAGGTTACCAGAGGCCCAATTACCCTCCCCTTCCTCAATCTCCCCAATTCCTGAATCCCCAACGATAGTCAAACTCATAATCCCTAAGAGGCCGGTAACACACTCGTAACGCCACTGGTGTTCCAGGTGTCCATGGGTGACGCCGATTGCTTAATCATACAATCATCAAACAATCATACAAACTTTTGCATTTACAATATTAGTTCGATGCCTATTGTAGTATTATCAACATTTTAATAAATAGTATGTTTGATTAATGTAGATAAAGAGTAATGTGTCCTTTATATTTAGATAATATGCTTGGTTGGGATGTACCTATTATAATGTTATTTACACACGGAAAAAAGATAATTTCATGATAGCCAATTGATGATGCCAATACTAACAATCAGACCACCATCAGACCAAAAAGAAGACATTATTCTGATTAAACATCAACATTATAAAAACAAAATTACTAATGAACTTAGTGCACTATCAATATTTCTATCCTTTGTTTGTTTTGGTCCATATTTTAAGTATCTTAAAATTCTTAATTTCAGGCGAGTGAAGCATCAAAGGCAACGGCAAAATCCTCAAAATCTAAATCAGCGATGAAAAATCTATACTGCTCGGCTTGTAACAAACTATTTAAAAACGTCAAATCATTTGAGAACCATGAGAAGAGTAAGAAACACAAAGAGAATGTAGCCAATATGACATTTGATGATGAATTAGAGATATCAGATGAGAATGAGAATGAAGATGATCTTGATGAACAGGAAATTGAAACGAAAGAGGAACAAGTAGATGATGATAAAGTAAATGGTGATGATAAGGTGGAGGGAGAAAATGTAGGAAACTCTACCTCAGATATCGAAGACAATGATGATAATGATCTGCGAGAGACCTTGAGTGATGATTCTGATAAAGTACAGGTTTGTATTGAAGTTTTATTTTGAACAGGGCTTACTGTCAATACTTCAATAACTAATGCAGGATAAAATAAGCTATTAGTTTAAAAACATGGGTTAATTTAATGTTTTTAACAAAATATACATTGATAAATTCAATGATAAGATTTATAATCATTGATAAATCACATTTGTAAATGTCTTTTTGTAGCAAATGACATGTCTTACTTGGATAGTATGAAAAACAATTAAGGATATATGCTTATTTTATATTTTTTTTTATATTTCAGGCTTTACCCAAGAGTCATAAAAAGAAAAAGAACAAAAAGAAGTTCATACCTATGCCAGAGAGTGAAGGCAATGACAGTCATGATGAGATGAGTTTTAATGAAATAGAAGGACCGTCACGCAGCAGAAAAGCAAAGAAATTCAATATGTTAAAGAGTCAAATACAAGCTAAGAAAGAAGCTAATCTGAAGAAAGGGTCCCAGTCACAAACTTCAACAGAAAATCTGTATGAAGTATCTAGTACAACTCCTACAGATGATGCCTTAGGTGAAGCAGCCTTACCAAAGGATAGGCCCGCTTTACCCAAGACACAGAGGAATATCAAACCAAAGAAAACAGTAGAACGAAAACCAGTTAGGACCAAAACGAGTGAGACAGAAGATTCAAGCACAGCATTAACACTCAGATGTGCAGTCTGTGAGACAGACTTCCCATCAAAGAATAAGCTGTTTGAACACTTAAAGAAGACAGGACACTCAGTACCTCTTCCTCAGACTAGCTTCACACCACAGACTAGGAAAGGTAAAAGAGCCAATAGGTAAACATGTGCAATTTAGATAGGATGGAAGTATTATCTAATCATTGAGAATCAATTGATTTTCTTTAAAATCTCGTTGTAAAAGTGACTTTATCAATCTATTTATTAAAAATTATGATCACTGTCAATAAAGATATGCCTAAATGATTTCTTACTTTTATTGTAGTGAACCCAAATGAAATTCCAGGTTAATTGCAATGTTTTGTATTTATAATGTTACAACACATAAACATATTTTTAGCAAAGCTACTTACAACCTAACATTATACTTAAAATCACATTCAAATAGACATACATACATAGACCAAAAATAAGTACACAAAACATGTAATACATTATGTCAAAACATGTTGTTTTACAAAAAAATCTGCTTATTTATATTATAGTACATAAATGTGTGTTCTACAGACATTGTAATTAACATTCAATAAATAATCATCTACATATTATGTGGTTAATTATGCATAAAATATTACAAAAACACAACTACATGGAAAACAATGTATAAACAGTCAGAAACAGATCTAACGAACATTAACACATCAAGTATCTATTTCACATTAAAACAATACTATTCAAACTCTGGAATGTCAGCAAAACTGTAACCAGGATACTCCTTATATGCATAATATGCTATCCTTATGTGGTATGCTCCTGGCAGGAACATAATACAGCCTAAAACTATCATAGGCCACAGTCGGTCAGAATACTTAGTGTCTATGTGCCCAGTTACAATTAAACTGCCAGCAATAAGTAGAGCTGTACCCACAACAAACAGGAATGCTGCTAAAGAAATAGCTTTCCATGGTATTTTGGGCGGTGGAACCTCAAATTGTGCATCGGAGAAGCCGCTGTCGTCATTGGATACTAGGCGATATCCATCATGTTGACGTCCAAAGCGGAATCTGGACATCTTCAAGGTCTTTAGTTGTTCTGCACATAAAAAAGGTTACTTTTAAAACATATATCTTATAGAACTTTTTCATACACTCACACTTCAACAAGTTGTATGTGATACGCCGCCAAATGATATTATGCCGAAAAAATTATTCGAATTTTCTTGAGAAAATTAGTGTTGTAATTACATACATAAATAGCTCTAAACACCAATCAAAATGTCCAAGATGAAGTTATTACAAAGGGCTCTAATTAAAGATTAGTCAGATGTATAACTGAAGTCTCTTTGTATTAATAACAACGTTATTTTACAAATAATTATTGATAATAAATACCAATATCGACCATAATAACTGACAGTGACAGCAATCAGCAATCTGACATTAACTTAAACGTCAATGTCGTTTTGAACCACAGAATAAGTAACCCGGTTGCCAAAGAAGAAAAAAAACCGTTCTAACAAGGTATAATCTATTTTTTTGTCATTAGACGTCACGTGGAGTTCATAATTTTTTCCATCGAAATATTGATCGATGAATCGAAATACAATAATAGAATCTTGATAAAAATGTTTAACTGATGAAAATATTTATTCATACCCCTGTGTCTCAGAATAAACAGCTTTACTCACCTTTAATTTGTTGCAGAAATAGTGTCATTTATTTTGAGGAATTTTTTGTCCTAACTAGGTAGATCCAATAATTTTGTTTACAAAGCTTTATAAATATGTAATAACAAGAAGTTAAGCTAGAAACAATGATCCATCCATCGTCGTACGGTTACGGCTACTCAATCTCCTCCTCCAATGGAACTCTCCGCCATCTGTAAATATAAGGGTCTGTATTTAATTTAGGATTTAGGTACTTGACTCTGATTTTGTGACTACTCAAGGGTTGTTTTTTTGGATTCATTGACTACAAAAATGTGTGGCATTAAGTTCGACCCTAATTATTCGAAGACCTTCTGTAAAATCCGTCGTTGCTTTAAAATTACAGAAGCGAAAAGTTCATATTTTTTTATTATCCCACCCCAAAATTTAATTACTAAGAAAGGGGCAGCGCATAAACAAAGAAAAATGAATAAAGTCTGATGAATCATGGGAAAAGTTTCGGGTGCGTCTCTTATGAGTAAGGTACGTTAGTAGGTAGATACTTTAGGTATAGGTAATTAAGTAGATTAGAATTAAGTAATTAAGCAGCTGCGTATCTAAATTAGGTTTATAACCGGTGTTAATTTGAATATTTTATTATTGTGTTCTATAGTGGGTGAAAACAGGCTGATGATGATGATGATGCTCCTCCCCTATTACATAAGAAGGAAGTGGGACCGTGTGCATAAAAACGTATCTCTTCCTACTTCTTTTAGTCTTCAACGAATTAACTAACGAATGTTTCACAGTTTAGTCACTGGACATTGCACTGGCCTAATTCTATTAATCACGCTAGAACAAGACTAACTAAAACGAAAAAATAAATAAAACGTAACAACTTACTACGAAATTTGGCAACGCTCGAGAAACTTCCCAGACTTTTCGTTTGCAAAATAAAATCATAACCAAAATGTCTGACCTATTTTCTTTTGAAATAAACTAAGTACCTAATTTGAAATCGTAGTCATGACAATTTTTCAACGGAATTAAAACAGTACAAGTGTTAAAAAAATCAAACAATTTAGCAATTAATGAGGGCCTAAAAGACTTGATGCCGTACTCTGACTATTCTGAGACATTATTATAGTAACGCTTTTGTTTCGAAAACAATTTAAATGATTGTGAATAAGGTGGTTAGCTATGTCCAGCAATAGATCTTTATAAACAGTAATATGATATGGTGATGATGAAATATGATAGTACCTAACACTAACAGCTTTGTTCAATCAAAGCTTGAAGCGGAGATCTTCAACTTCACTTCAAAAGAGCGACAAATTATCCGCTTTGTTAACACATTCGCAACCCTCCTACGATTGCTGAGGCGTTTAATAGTAAATCTATGTTTGACTAGCTTTTAGTTTTAAGTTGCGACTTTACGTAAACATTTGTCATTAAAGCCTATGTCAATCCTACTCCCAATATTGAATAGATAAAGAGGTAACATTTAAGGTGGCGTAACGAGCTACGGAGAGGGCTATGCTCTCTGAAGGATAGGATCCGTAAAGAGGTAGCCTTTAGGCTACCTACGTTAGTAACTTTATTTTTCTGTCGGATTAGCAAGCTGAAATGGCAGTGGACCAGTCACATTTGTCGAAGAACCGATGACTATTGAAGTAGACGTATTCTAGAGTGGAGAACGCGTCTAGGCAAACTTAGTGTAGGGCCCTCCAGCTAGTAGGAGTGACGGTATCCGCAAAGTGGCTGATGGTGATTGGATGCGTAGAGCTGGCCTATGTCCAGTAGTGAACGTGAACAGGCTGTTGCTGTTGATGTAAAGAGGTAACAAACAAATAATCTTACTTTCACTTCAATCATAATATTAGATTAATAGTTTGCAGTCGACTGCTATAAGTTACTGTCATGCAGTCCCTTTGATACTACTCTTATTTAACTTTAGTTTCGTGAATTCTTTATGTTTGCAATTTTAACGTACTAAAGACTTGTATTCATTTAGGTACATACGTAAAGATCTCTGCATTTTGATAGAAATTATTCCACGACTCTTTGATATGTTTTCAGGCCAACGAATCTAGTCTGACCTCTATCCGAAATGCCGAATGAATTTGGCACGACACCCAACCATAAAATATTGGTCAAAATTTTTCAATTCCTTATTCGATAATAATTTTCGGAATATGGTGATAGCTGTGAAAAACTAAGTTATGATTTTTCCTACCTTCAATTACGTATTCAGCACGCCCAAGTGATTTCGTTCGGGCTCCAATTTCGCTAGTAGGTAGTAATGGAGAACTAATTTTCAGCCCACGTACTGCCCACATTGATAGGAAAAGTAATTTTCTCTGAATATCAATTAATTAACGAAATGTTATTTAATACCCGATTTTTGTTAAATATCGCTATTAATGTAGCAGTAGCTACGCCGTAGTCATTAGGCTACGAGAATAGTTTAAATCTATACTTTGTGCTACGAAAAGTCACGTTTTATTAATTAAAGTGGCTACGAAAATTCGTAGCTGTTTGTTACGGCGATATTGACGTCCGTAGCAGACATTGCGTAACCTATGCAACATAGAACAAAATCTGTTTTCGTTACATGAATTTTATATAACACATAACATCACACCTTTTAGCTCTCCAAAGATAGTGACGTAGCATTAATATAAATTCCAATTTATTGTATTATGAATGCCACGAAAAGAGGTAATTAAGCCACTTCACTGTATGTAGATATAGAAAATAACCTATTGACTTTTGGACTATTGTGAGCTTTATTGGAATCGGCCAACGTAGCAAGTGTTGACGCGTCATGCACACATAAATGTCCTACTGTGTCGGTGGCGCTGCGTATTGGGTTGTTCCGTTCCCAACAAAAAGGTTGACCGGACCAATTGCGGACACACAAGTCATACTCGTGAACAGGTGCCTTCTGCTGGGTCAGGTCGGCTCTCCCATCTTATTGGTGGGCTGATTTCGTAGAGCCGTCAAAATTGATATAAATAGATAATACCTAATTATTACCTATATTTAATTTATACTTTTATTAATAACTAGCTTCTGCCCGCGACATCGTACGCGCAATCCCATTTTGCCCCCGTTCCCGTTCATGATTTTCGGTAAAAAGTAAAAAAAAAAGTATTCTATAAAAAGTATCCTATGTCCGTCTCCTGGTTCTAAGCTACCTCCCTGCCAATTTTCATCTAAATCGATCGAGGCGTTCTTGAGTTATAAATAGTGTAACTAACACGACTTTCTTTTATATATATAGATTAAAGATGTGGTTAATTGTAGTGTATAACTAGGTACCTTCTTTACTTTATAAAAAATGATTAGACGTATTATAATAAAAAAATTCTATGACAAGGGCACGAACCAAGAGTCCGTGGAGTATTAATCTGTAACATTATATAAAGAAAAACCACTTCACTGTACTCGGAGCACGCCTGATTCTTTAATGATTTCAAAATAAGAAACAGACACGTATGTGTGCAATTAGCTTTCTAAAGGCACACACTATTCTTTTATGAACACCTATCAAACAAAAATACTTAATTAGGAACGTACTATTTCGAATAAGGTCTGAATAACGAAAATAACACTCAAAACCAATGTCCCTAAGTCACGCACAGAATACTCAAAGATCGGATTTATTATTGCATTGCACAATAAGTTGAATATACATACAAACATAACGCAAAACGTACTCAACCAGCGTGATGCCACATTACAAAATTAATTTATCGCTATGAAATCGTTATCGGTCATTCTAAGTTAACAGAACAGACTGTAATTTGTTTTATAAAGTAAACCTTATTTTTATTATATTCTTAAGTTTAAAGTGGAATAACGTAAGAAGAATACAACAGAGAGGATCATACGTGTATTAAATGAAAAAGCTTGAGCGAATTAATTTTCAATGTTTTTTTTATAATCTGCCACAATTTGATGACGTCATCATTCGAAGTTAGTTGAAGAAATTAGTTGACACTAGCTAGAAAAAAAAATTACTTAATAAATGTAAGCAATTACAACGAAATCATGGTAATGAAAGTTTAAATATTTTCCGTTATACATATTTTAAAATTATCTAACCACATTATTTATTATTATTTTAGCCTGATCATTCACAACCAACAACACGCAATAAAGAGATAATTAATTATTATTATGTTCTCTACCCTGATATTCGGACCCAAGTTACGACAGGGGTTGCTAGCTGGTTGGGGAATGCGTCACGCTTACGAAGGAGACTGCGGATTTGTGCAATGTCCTTGACCTGCACCACTAGCCGCAGCGAACACATACTCCAATGCTGGTAAAATACCCTCCAGTTGTGTTTGTGCTTTATATTCCCTGCTGTGAAGATCTTTAACTAGATCTAGATTTAAACTGGTTCTCTAGGTCTACTATGTGATTCGACGAAAAACGAAGTTTCGGATGAAACTTCGAAGATTACCTACCACAATGACATTTATTACGAACGAAAAGGGAATTAATCAGAAATTAGTATGAGATGTACTGTTTGACGTCTACATAATATATTTTCCGAACCCTACTCTAATTGCGCAATCGGCTCGAACGAAAATTCTAGTTTGACCGATTATTCTTCAGATGTTTAATTAATGTCATTCGACAACAACAAAATAGTTATCGTTTAATTTTCGTTTGGGTTAATTTTTATTGAAAAATGAATGAAAGTAATTACAAGTCTTCGTTTTATCACGGTTTCTTCGTGTGAACAAGACCTACGTCTTGTTCCACGGGCACCAATGGAACCACCTAAATGACGATATAAAATCAATGTACAGTCAGCTCAAATAATTGTTAACACGAACCTATATATTGTATACATATGTCTCTGACAGACATTTAGGGTAATCAGATATTTATTCGAATACCTTATGTATTGTACATAAATGTTTCATGTGTATTTAATGTTTTATTTCAAAACTAATAATACCGCTAGAAAAAGAAACTTAAGTATTGCTAGTATATATTTTCGCTATTCTTTCACATCTATTAATATAACAATATTTATAGATAAGATAAATTCTTTCAAAAATATATTGTTAACATTCAAGTCCTGACGTGGTTTACTCATACCATAAATGGTGACGTAACGTATGTCAAACACCATAAATAACCGAAATGAATTACTTTTATTTACTGATTTGCACAATATTTACTATTTACTGATTTGCACAATATTTACTTGTATTATAATCGGTCTATTATACTTCTATTAGGGAGATGCACAAAAACAACATTTTCCAATGAAATCAGTGGTTATTGATTCAAATTCTATAAACTTAAAATATAAATATTTTGCTTAACTTAAAAAAATATAAGTATGTTACATTCTTAGCTACAATACAATTATTTGGACGTTTTTTGGAAAATTCTTACATTCGTGAATACGCCATCTATGAGACACCCACGTCAGTCGTTAAAGGTTTAATCATCATAAGACGAAATTTAGTCTCTTCAAATTCTCATGTAGACATTTATCATTTTTAAACTGACTGTATAATAATACGAATAAATTTGGTATTCATTATATTATTTTATTATAAATGTCAATAAATGACAATGCCAACATTCTAAAACTTTTTAACTTAGTCTTATAATAAGTCTTTGAAAGGAGGTTCTTATCCTGTTTAAGATTTTCCATCTTAAACATTAATATTAAAATCTTATTCGTGTTTTTCTGTATATGTGCTAAGCCATGACATTATGAATTTAGTAATATAATTACCTACTTAAAATATTTTTTTATTTTTGTCTATGGTTCCGAAAACGATGTTAGCGGCCGCAAATCAAACGAAATTTCGCATTCGGGGACCGGAGTAGCCCTCTGCTGCTGTTTCCTTCGTTGACGGTGAGTGCAAAGTTTTTAAAGTTTTAAGGCATTCTCAGCTTTAAATTATTGTTATATACATAGCTCTCCAGTTGGTCGTAAGCCGTTTGAAATATCGTTTAGATTTAATAAGAAATAGGTGTTATTAATTCTATGTTGAAATTAATGTAGATCTATTCCAGTTGTTCTGCAAACTGTTAGTAATACAGTTACTGGTACATCATCAATCATCAACATCCTGTCCTAGTCTGATATGTAATCGTAAGTTTTCCTTGAATGGTTGCAACATTGACGTGTCTCGAACGTTGCAGCATAATGCAGTATATAGAGAACATATCAGACTTTCGTACTTGTCCGTGTTCGTGTATGTACGCATCTAAACATACACATACAAGGAAAAAGTGCCATCATCTCTACGTACCTACGTCACAAACGTTTTAAGGATAAAGTGATGTGAGTTGCAGAGGTGATTTTGCCCAGGTACTCAGGATCAGGTGCTTTGCTTAGATTGTTATGTAGAAGCTACCACTTTTAAGGTTGCACCACACTAGGATTTTCTCCTGTATTGTGGGTGCATTAAAAACATACAAGTTCATATACATATGACACCCAGACCCGAAAATAATTTGTGCAGCACACAAAGAACCTGCTACAAGTTGCGCGGCAGTCGCTTGCTGTGCTACATGTAGTGAGTGTGTCCATAGAAATATAGAAATTATCGGTCCTTCGGGGTCCCTGAGGATGGGGGCCCTGGGCACTAGCCCCGAGTACCCTTATAGTAAAGACGGAACTGATTAAAAGTCCAGTTTTCCTCACAATGTTTAGGTACTAACACTGTACCACCGCTCAAGTACTTTTTTACCTTTTTGAAAAATGAAAATCAGTGCAAGTAGGTAAACTATATCATCAGCCTTAGATTACTACATGAAATGAATCTAAGCCCCATCTGCCAGCAAAATTTAACTTGTTTATTTTACTCACCATAAACAAGTAAGGCGATACATTAAAAGCTTATTAAACAGACCTCTGTTTAATAAGCTTTCTTAGCACTTTCTTAGCTGTCTCCTTGCTTGTCTATAGGAAACGAAAATGGGTAATTTTTGAAAAATATTTTGCAAGGATAAATTACAGTAGGTAGTAGTTTGACATTGATCCCTAAACTTACGTATTTTTCAAAACAATACATAATATCACGCTTTTTAACCCCGAAGGAATAGGCAGAGGTGTACATAATGCCACTGTACAACGATATAAAACACACTTTTTTCTCTATTTATGTTATGAGTCCCAGGTAATAGGGGGTGAGCCTATTACCAAATACCGGGCACAATAAATTCCAGACTCCGTGTTACAACTAAGAATTTTATTTTAAAAAACGCAGTAATGCTTTGAAAACCTGTTTGTTTTTCAAAACATGTTTATATTAAGGACATCAAAAACATGTAGACCTTTTGTTGCTGTCGGCAATTTGATATTGTGTATGTGAACTTGTATGTTTGTAAACGCACCCACGATACAGGAGAAAATCCTAGTGTGGGGCAACGTTTATTTAAAAAAAAATGTTTTATAGACATGCACTTTTAATTATTACATTAATTAAATTTTAATAGGTACATAGAACAGAAACACAGCGCAGTACACAACCGACTAACAACATAAAAAAGTAAAGTACAGACCATTCTTCCACAAGTATCACACAACAGGACATGCAACGACTCGTAAACAATACCAATTATTTATAATGAATTATAATCTGGACCGAAATTAGAAATATACTAGCTGACCCGGCAAACTTCGTACCGCCTAAAAGCTTTTTCTCACCTTTTAAACCTTCCCTAGACTTTCACGAACCTATCAAGACCAAAATTAGCCAAATCAGTTCAGCTGTTCTCGAGTTTTAGCGAGACTAACGAACAGAAATTCATTTTTATTTATATACATAATAGTATTAAGAAACTTGACATTATTACCTATGTCATGTAAAACATTCGTTATTCTCAATCTTCTTAAGATTTTAAAATCTCGACGTAAAATTTCCGCGTCTCATTTAGTTTGTAGCAATGCAGATACGGCGCGTAGCGTTCCTACACGTAAACACTTTATGATATTAGCATGTAGTTCGGTACCTAGTGTTTTCATAATTCTTACTGATTTATGTTACCCTAGTACAATTTACGAGTACACACAATCCACTTAATTCACGCTGATTGAGTCCCTAATAAATTATACTTATTAAGTCAATTACCACTGGCATAAAAATGCCGAATGAAATAATTTTATGCCATGGAATCTAATTTGTTACTTGAAATAAATAATAGCCAAGTTATGTTACTAAATATACTCGTAGCGTCATCGCTAACGGTCTGTCTGTCCTTAAAATATAGTTTTACATGACATAAACACAGACACTGTTGTCAGTTTTGCCACTTCTATAAACACGACAACAAGAGCATCACGAATTATATGAACCATGAAGGATAACCACATTCAACCTCTGTTGATCTCTTTATACACCGATTCCATTCAATGTCCTGTGTACACATCTGGCATTGTAATAATAAAAAATATGCTTTTATTTTTTTATTTAGAGAGTTTTTTTCTTAGGCATCTAAGTTGATCGTATCTAATTGTGACGCGAAAATAGCTTGTGCTTAGTAACAGGGGGTGTCCGCCATTGCTGGAGCCGCGCCAAAACATAGAATAACAGTTACAGTTCGCGCCCAGCGGTGAAAGTGCCGCCAATCGATACTACCCACCGATAACCTGATACAAACAGCTGATCTTAACCATTACACCCACTGCCTATACAGCACCATGAAACCACTTCTTTATGAATTAATATACGTTTCATTATGAATTAACACCACTTATTGAGTTCTCACAAGGGAAACTAGATAAAAATGGGAAAAAGATACGAATAGAAAAACCTTAATTTTTCAAAAAGTTCATCAAACGTCAGAGCTTTTGTTGATGTAGCTCCTCGCTACTAATACACGTTGTTGCAAGGTCTTGGTTCATTCATTCCACTTACAAAACGATAACAAAGGTACGAACCTTTGTTGTAATACACAATAAGTAAATAATATAGGTCAAAAGCGAAGATTATAAAAAATATGTATAATGCTCACCTCGATATGTAGGTAAGGCGGCAGCGCGCCAGTATAGCACATGTAGTGGCGCTGCGTGTTGGTGTATTTAGTTTAATCGCTTGCGGCGTACGAGCACGCATGCGCGGTGGTGCAGGCGCGCGCACCCTCGCCGGCTGTGACAGCGCGGCCCACTCCGCCGGCAAACCGACCTCGAGGCACACGCGCGCCCATCGCTCGCTACGCGCAGCAACGCCGGCCCCTCGCGGCCAGGAGCCCTCCTTGGCGCTTCCATCACCCTTACACTCGACACTACACCACCGGGGGCTTACCGCCACGGACGCCGGCGTTCGCACACAGGGCTCGCCGGATAAAAGGTATACTTTTCATTATGTGTTTGCAATGACATGTCCGCCCCGGATCCGCTATTCATTTGCGGTACAATACCATATTTAATTGTTTGCCGGCAAGCAAAAAATATTCGCTGCCAGTTGAGCACCTGGGGTTGCTGCATTATGACAAAAGAGTGCGAACGCGATACGAATCCTCGTTCCTCTTTTGTCAGCTGCCGTATGTTGGTTATGCCGTTAATCCTCTAATTGTCGACTAAGACAAAGTGTTTGACCTTTCCTCATTACGGCTTCCACTAGAATCTGCAATATTATATCTAAGTACTTAACTGTATGTAGCAAATAAATCTTCTACTTTGTCATGGTTCTGCGTGATCGGTTTTCTAGTCCACGACACTTGTCAGTTACATACTTCTTGACCAAAATCGCGTGAGCACACAATAACTCAGATGAGTTGATCATCTTCAAAGTCACTGACATAAACTTTCATTATTGTCGGTTGATTTTTAAATTGTGACAAACAACTTCTGCAATAATATCACGTTGTTGCTACGACATACAAGTACAAAAGCTAAGGTTTTTCATCGTTGATCGCGATCTAAATCAAAATCCCTTACTACTTTAAGTAGACATTTTATTCGGCCCTTATTCGGTTTCACCCAGCAATAAATTTTTTAACTAAACATGCGACGGTCGTGCTAACCGTGTTGTCGTCGCTATTTCGTAATACCACGACAAAACATTATCTTTTTGATGGCTTTTCTTTCAAACACTTTTACTGTCACTTTTATGTCATTATCATATTGGCTTTTGGGAATGCGGAACTTTTGCAATTCCATTGTTTAAACTATCGTTCATAATTTGAAGAATTTGATTTAATTTGAACAAAAGACTATCGAACTAGTAACAAGACTTTAAATTGCGGCCTTTTTTGGACACCGACTATGTAAAGCTACACTTTACTATATCGAACTGAACACACGGGTGATTCTGAGAGGACTAATTACTTTTATCTTTATTTTTTTATTTTTTATTTTACAATTTTAGGAAAACTTACAGCTAGGTATAACATAAGGATAGATTAAATTATAGATAAACGGCCAATAACAAGTTTCCGCTTATAGGTAATTAAATTACTAGTTTAAAAAGACAGCATATGACGAAACAAAAAAAAAACTGTTTAGAAAAACAAAAAGAAATAAGATAATTATTATGTTTGAAAGAAACTTGAAGACATTAATTTCTTTAATCTACGTACGCTAGTGTGAAACAAATCCAAATCAATCCTCCGGCACTCTGAATTGTATGTCCGACAAGCTCTTATCATGTATGAATTTTGTCTATAAACAGTGTTGGTAGACGGGACGTTGAGAAGTACAGGTTTGCGCAGAAAAGCAGAAGGCACACGCAACCCTATTCTGTCCACCAACTCCGGTATAACAAATGAGCCATTTACTATATTGAACAGGAATGATAAATCTGCAATTTTACGGTAGTGACCACGGATTATATCTTTGATAGTCATTATGAAATGCATAATCCCGCATCTTCGAATAAAATACGGCATATATACAAGAGGATTTAATACATATCACTTAAAATATTTGTATAAAAAAGAGGCTAGCAGTCGAAACCTACCTCAATAGCGCTCCCATTGAGTGAAGCGCAATTGACGTGTTCCGAGATGCTTACTAAAGCTTTTGTACACAAAAAGGCGAAAACAAAATTATATTCAAAGACTTTGAAGTGTGCTTTAAATACAAGTAAAATACGGTCGCTTTTCAAGTGATCATTGAGACATTGTTAATACAAAAAAAGAATATGCTAATCCCAGTTTGCTACTTATGTCTTTTTTCGATTAATGTGGGCTATTCGGGTTTTTGAAAGCTTCAATTCGGACGGTCCTTTAATAACTCACCCTTGCGCAAGGGGAATTGATAACAAAGTAGTGTTATCAAGCCCCCTCTCTCTTTCCATTACTAAGTAAGTAGGTTCAGATTTATCATGATATTTTTTTTATGGGATAAGCCGGTAAACGAGCATATGGATCACCTGATGGAAAGTCATCGGTGCTATGGATCCCCGAAACACCAGACGTGTTACAAGTGCGTTACCGGTCTTTTGAGGATTAGGAATTTGAGGATTGTTGGGGGTTAATCGGGGCTCCGCTCTATTATAACTGATGTAGCGAATTCAATATGCATCGCAACATAAGACTAAAATCTTTATTTAGGTTCTTTTTTGCCAGAGTAAACTCCAAAAGGAAAATATAGGAACGGTTATGGAATTTACAATAACGCTACGGATGCAGCTATACCGTCGTATCCAAAAATTACTTAGACAAAAAGAAATTATTTACAATTACAAATAAATAGATACTTCCATTGATTGATTTAATTTTATCTACGCTTAGTTTTAGCATTTTTCTAGCCCATGTAAGAGAAACAAATAATAGCTTTCTTATTTATTTATTTATGTACACACATACAACATAATATATAAAATTAAAGTACAAAGAGGTTATCTTTAATAATTTGGAATAGGTGGTAACCTATTCCTATTGGAATTTCTTCCTGTGGACCTGTGGCAGGAAAAGTAATAATAATATAGTGACACAGTTAGTAACAAATGGAAAATTGTCATATTTGACGTACCCAAAAGAAGTGAAGATCAGCACATTTTTACCCGTCGGAAACTCGTTAAATATTGAATTTGATTAGCAATCATCATACCTATTTAAAATACAAATATAACGGACTAGAAAATGAAACAAAGCGCGTATTCTATCAGCTTAGCTAATTGACCTTGCGACGTTGCAGTTACATGTCCTTGAAACCCACAACTATGTGCACATGTTACTACTTTGTATGGCTGTTTGTCACGAACTGATGACAGTCACTGGATCATCGTGACATGCACTGATTTTAATATAAACTGCTCCTATAAATCATTTCGATTTGGCACGATGGAGCGTATCCTACTGACACAATTCGTTTTGTTTCTGAAAAGATTTAGTTGGTAGTTGCCAAATTCGTATTCGGAATTAATGTTTGGGACTGATATTATGCAATTTTACCTATTTTTGTCTTCTGACGTATTCAGAGTTTTCTTTTTAAAGAAACGTTGCCCCACATTATGATTTTCTCCTGTGTCGTGGGTGCGTTTCCAAACATAAAAGTTCACATACCTACACAATGACATCCTGACCCGAAACAACAATTTGTGGATCACACAAAGTGTTGTTCCGTGCGGGAATCGAACCCGTGACACGTTATACGGCAGCCGGTTGCCCAGCCACCGCACCAACCGTGCAGTCATTATATAGTAGTCCCATGTACATAGAACTTTTAAATAACATTTAATCTAAATTTTCACACATACTGTACCGATAAGTTAGCTAGCTTGACATTACGATTTACCAATCTGAATTATTTTAGCACCCATCCATTGCAAAAGCTAAACATAATTATAAAAAATTATATATTTAATCGTATAGAAGAAAGAGAACTAAAATAGAATGTATATGCGTAATTAACATCATAACATCACGCCTTTTATCCCCGAAGGGGTAGGCAGAGGTGCACATAGAAATAACACCCATTTTTCACTATTTATGTTACGGGTCCCATGTAATAGGGGGTGAGCCTATTGACGTAATTAACAATAGCAACGATTTGACAGATCTTATCGAATCTCACAGAGTGATACGCCAGAGGGCCGTCTGACAAAAATCATACTATGTAGTACTACGTTGTATTTATTTTTATTGTACTGTAATAGTAAAATATTTTTAATAATAAAATAAAATAAATTTAGGTACAAAAAGGATATTTGAGACTTTAGATGAAAAGAAACAAATAAGTTAGTGATTTAGTTAACTCGACTTACCTCTCGACAATAATGATATATCATATCTGTAAATAAGTTTACAAAATAGAATATTAGGTCTCTATAATATTTCCTTTATTTTATTTGTAAAGGACATAATTTTTAATAGGATAAAGCACTAAAAATCAAATAAGTATATTATGTGATTAAAATAGAATATTAATATTAGAATAAATTATAATATCCTCGATGGCAGTACCTGTGTAAAGTTCTTGAACATTTTCCAAAAGGAGTTTTGTTCTTCCACATCCTCTTCCGTTCTCCAAGATGAGGATGTGGTGAAGGGTGCGATGCTTATATAAGTTTTCCCGTACTTTTTTTATTTCAAATTACCTACCTACCTTACCTACTAAGGATTATTTGGCATGTCCAAGTCAATACAGCTGTGTAATATGTTTTTATAATAACTATCGTGAGACATACTAAATTAACTATAATCGGGGGTTACTCACGTGAATATAGTTCTACTAGTTTCGAACCACAGAGGGGTTCTTCCTTATGAGCAGCGTGCGCGGTCGCGACGATGTCGCGCAGCTCACTGTATATTCACGTAAGTAACCCGCGATTTTAGTTCATTTAGTTGTGTAATAGTAGGATGGTATTAAACCTTGTAAGATATTTTTAAAAATAATACTGGAGATTGGGTTTACTCGACATGTCCAACAATTCAATAACTTATTACTTTGCCCTAATAGTATCGTAATTTCTTAACTAGTTTTAAAATGTTATTGCCCCGTTACACAACCTCTGAATATTTTTTGGGTAGTTTAACTAACAAATCGCAAAGACGCAGGTACTTTCATTCATGCCAAACGTATCGACTAAGCTGAAAGAAACGTACCCATTTTGAAATAGACTGGAATAAAAACTATCTAAACCATTCGCCGAGAACCTAACGGGTTACCGGAGGTCCGGCTCGACGTGTAGGAGAAGGAACGGGGTGGTTTTTAGTCAGTAAGAGTCTGACACTCATTCGGTGATATTCCCCCCTTAAAAAAAACCATCCTCGCTGTAAGTATGTCGAGTGGTTGTAACAAGAAATGGCAGGACCATTTCCATATCATTTGTCTAACAGCTCTGGAGTTACTGGTATTTAAGACTAATTGTCTTGCCTGCGGTAAAAGCGTGATAGAGTGCCA